CGTAGCACCACCCAGGATGAAGCGAGTGAAGCTAGTTTCTTCACTTTAAAATAGTTATTTTGCTTTCATTTCTTTACTAGTTGACTATTTAATATGGTCATTAACGTCGCTATATTAAAGTCACTACTCCCACTACGTACAATGGTGAGTATACGCATTCAGTGAACTAACATTTGCTAACACAATTACACACCAAAAATATCTGCTCACAGCACTTGCTGAAGCTTTCCAGTATCAGCAAGTGTTGTGGTTGCAGTTCCCGATCCCCGTTTGTGATTGGTGCGTGTCACAAAAAATGGCCTGGTCCCGCCGGGCCTTGCGTATTGTAAAGGGCGCCCCGTCGGCTGCCTGCGGGGCCATGTGGTCGCCGCGGGTGGTGTGACACTCCCTGCTTGGCGCTAGTTAGCACCTCGCCGGTCCCGACTGGGACCCTTATTTGACTTGTTTATGGCCTCTTCGACTCCCGCTTTTGCCCGATGCTTGGGCGCGGTACCACTTCGTAGAATTCGGTAATGAGTTTGCCAGATGCCCCAGTTGAGCGGTTTTGGTGTTGACTTTGGAGTTTGGGGCAACGAATGTCTTCGCCGCTGTGACGGTCATTTTTTTTTTTTTTTTTGTTTGTGTGTCAGTGTATTGCGATTGTAGGGGAGCGGGTGTGTTTTGTTTACTTTATTAAGAAAGAGCGCGGTTCGGTTTAAACTGGGAAACGGCACGGCAGTCGACTTGGGAGGTTCGAGAACGCAACCCGCTTTTCCTGTCGGCTCCAGGCGTAGCCTCGGGCACCGCGGTAAAGGGGAAGACCCGTCGGGACACTGAACGTCAGCTACTTCTGTGCGCCAACCCTATGCGGCCTTCCTCTGCCGGACTGCCCCAGTGCGTCGACGGTCCGTGACGCGACAGCGACTAAAACCAACGACCACCACCTCTGGCGCACCGCGGCCACGTCGAGAGGGAATCAACCGCAAGCGACAGACTTCAGGTGCTCCCACGCCTCTGCGAGCCTCGTCGTGCCGGACTGCGCCCAGTGCGGTATCGTCCCATTCCTCTTGTTGTGTATTCTCTGTCTCGCTTATAGCTACTCAGTTTCTCTTGTATGCTTCTGCCTGATTGAGACTGTGTGTGTATTATCCTTTCACTTTTGTCACCATCTTACTATAGCCTTTACTAAATGTGTCTACTTCTCTGTTCCTCACGTGCCTTGTCTTTGTCCCCCCGTCCCTGGAGCCCACGTACTGTGGGATAGCGGGCGTCCGAACCCCCGTTGCGGTCTACGGCGAGTGCGCTTCCCCTCTCGCTCCGCACCGGACCGTGACAGTGCGCAAGAAACTCATCTGGTCTGTTCTTGATAGAAAAAAGGAAACAATAACAAAAACTGGGCTGATTTATCAGTGCGATGATGCACAACTGAATTGACAAACTAATCAAATGTTTTGTTTAGGCGCTTCAGTGTACTCCAAATCTGCTTGAAGTGATCTTCTGATAGGCGAGCTTTTCAATACTTTGGTAGTTTAACTCAGACTACCAAAGTATCGCACTCAAAAGATACTTAGAGCATAACAGAACAGTATTTACGATTTCCAGGTATTTTAAAAGTATTCTGCGCATACTTTTCATCGCTGCATTTTTATCAGGGTTGGAGTATATTTTCCATGAAATAAATGCATATTTTAAAAAATCTATGTGAAAGGTATTTTGGGCCTACTAATTTACTATTTACATATTTCAGAACGCATGAAGGGAACTTCAAATGTAGTTTAAAGAAAGGTATTTTTAATATATTTTCAGAAATATATTTTATACTAAGTAAAAAGAAAGAAGTGTATATTTTCGGTCTATTTATTGTGTGCTTACAAATATGAACTGTACTTCAAATACACTCAAATTAGAATGGGGTATATTTCAAACGTCTTAGTTTTCGCTAAGGGAGGAGGTTTTCCAACCAGTAGCCTCTCTTGGGGATGTCATATCAATCATATAGCCGCTAAAGCTAACAAATCTCTTGGTTTTCTGCGTCGTACTCCATATATCGCATCTGAGGAAACTAAACTTGTAGCTTATAACGCCTTAATACGCCCCATTTTAGAGTATGCTTCTGTCATTTGGAACCCCCACCAAGTCTCCCTTGAAAACGAGTTAGAATCCATCCAAAATAAAGCTGCACGTTTCATCCTAAGGAATTATAACCACTCTGTAAGCGTTACCTCCTTGAAGTCAATTCTCAGCCTTCCTCCTCTAAGAGAACGTAGAGCTGTATGACAACTAAAACTACTTCCATAAACTTTTCTACCACTCTCCAGCTCATAAGTCTATTTATTGCATACCTGCCTCTTTCATTTCTCGCCGACTTGACCACTCCTGCAAACTTCACCTAGACATTCCCAGGACTAATAGTTACAAGTTTTCATCCTTGCAGCTCGCCATTAAAAATTGTAACATGTTACCAGAAGCCGTGGTCACGGTAACGGCCCTCAAAAATTCGCCGAAGCTGTTATTGGTCACCTGCACCTGTGATACGCCCATTGAATTCATTCTTTTTTTCTTGTGGCATTAATGTATTGTGTTTTTTGCCAATGTCCCTTTGTAATACTCATCATGGGTCTTAAGGGGAACTAATGAATGAAATGAATTGAAACGACGCATGGCGCGACCAGCGCGACACACCGAGGCCGGTTCCAAACCTACTCGAATGGATCTGAGTTACCCTGGCGGATTATGTCACGTGACAACAAAAATAGAGAAACGCTGGACGCGGGTAGGTTTTCGATAACCACCTTTACCCTAGAGTTAGATCGAGTAAGTTCTGGAACACGGCCAGAAACTATCGACGAGCCACACGAGCTCCTCCCGACCGTAAATACGGGTGACAGAAGCCGAAAATATTTTAAATAATTAGGCCCGTGTGGAGCGGCATATTCTAAAGCAAAAAGACGGCGACGTTATGAAGTTTCTACGGACGTTTTAATACTCCTGAAAGGCTTCAAGATTCGCTTCGCGCACATATGTGGAAGGTTACCTTGGCCGATCATTTACTGACTATGTACGCTGTTCCGATTTAAATTAAAGATAACATTCTTGAACCTGCTCGTCGACGCAGGAAACCCTCAAATGTATCAGAGATTCCGAGGTTTCGTCGGTTCCGTCTCGCAGCGAGACGGAAGCTACGCCGATACCGGCACACCGTCGTTCGATTGCACGTCAATTCGTTTCTAGGCGGTATGCAAGAACAAACCTTTCTCGGGACGCTAAGTGGTGTTTCGGCTTTCCAATCTAAGTATCTTTATTCACTGCGGCTGGGCCAAGCATTCTAAGCAGGGCAGCGGTCTGACTGTCTTTTCATCAACTTTTCTGTCGCCGAGCTATCGGCACGCTCGTTCGATAGATCAATTCGTTTTCACTCAAGACGCACGAACAAACCTTTTCCTCGATGCTCGCTGATGTTTCGGCTTTGAAATCAAAGTATCTTTCCTCGCTGGGCTAAGCATTATGAAAGGCGCAGAGCGGTTCGCATCTCTTCATCTCGACAACTTTCCTGTCGCTGTGCTGTCGGCACGCTACCCTTTGACAAATGCATTTTTTTAGGCGAGATGCACAAACTTTTTTCGGAACGCTAATTGCTGTCTTAGCTTTCAAGTCAAATAATTTTTACCTGCTCGATTAAGCACTAATCAACTGAAAGGGGGCAGTGGTCCAGCTACGCCTTTCGTCTCGACGGTCTCAACAGCAGCAGCCATCTTGTTTGTTTACGTGACGTCACGGAGCGCGAATAATTGTCACTCGCGCTCCGAGAAATTTTCGGTTAAAGCCCCTCAATATGTTTGCGTTAAACGCCTTTATCAAGGGGCTTTATTCTCGGTGCATGAAGAGCGCGCTCCAGTGTCAGTCTCCGGTGGCACTCCTGTCCGTTTAGTGAAAGGAGCGCCAAACAATCGCGCCAAACTTTCGAGCTTTGGAGCACGGACTTAAAGCGCCCGGTCTTGTAGAAAGATAGCAAGTTGTGCGAATACCTGCTCGATAAAAGGTAATTTTTGTATAAATCTTGTCGTTCCAACATAAATAGAAATTCGCCAAAAACCTGGCATCATCGACGCAACTTTTATTACGGTATACGGAGTTTTAGTGGCGCCATCTATCCGAGGTCCATAAAACCGTCACCTCTATCTGCCACCTCGAAAAGCCGCCAGAAGTATCTTGAATCACTGCCTATGTTGCGGTTGGCCTTTTCTCTGCGCAAACGCTTTTTAATCGGGTGAATCAACCGTAAAACAACAATACACGCGGAGAGCACTGCGAATGTTTCGTATTTTGATTTTCGCCACTACTCCGGTGTCACGTCAACAGTCGAGGCAACATTTACTGAGGTTTGCGCGGTGTTTGCTCGTTGCTCTGCTTCCGCGGGGTTTGTTCAGCAAGGGCAGGGACGTGTTCGCCAACAAACGATGGAAACTTTCAGACGCTAATTTCAAAAAGCAACTGCTGCAAATTTACAATATGAATAAAAAGCTTACTTTTTCTTAATTTTATGCAAAAAAACTTGGCGAGGAGCGTTTTCTCGTTTTTTCTAAATTTTTGTGTTATAAAAAAAGTAACTGAAAACTAACGTCGTTACTTTTTAAACGTAACTGTAACTCTAACGAGTTAAGTTTTTGTAGCGGTAACTGTAACATTAACCTCACTACTTTTTTTCTAAAAGTAACTGTCACTGTAACGAATAACTTTTTTAAAAGTAACTTGCCCAAGGCTGGTTACGCCACCTGACTTCCATTTGTGCAAGGTTGTATTTCGCGCTCGACACAATTTGCTCCCCAAGTATTCGTCAACATGATGGTGCTTGTTTTGTTTTTGATTTAGGTTTAGACAGTTAACTTTAGTCTTCAATTTTATAAGCGAATTAATGTACGTACTCCGTTCTAGAGTTAGTGACCAACGACTTGACGAGACGTACCAAACCTAGGTTGTGAAGTACTTTTTTTTTTAATGCTCTTTAACCTATATTTTCAGGCATGGCAGAAGTCGGCGGTGCGTGTTCAACGTATGCGAACTTTGCCATTGTTGAAGACCGAGGGGAAGCGTACCTTGGTGTTCACTTCGCCGCTCACGAATTGGGCCATTCGTAAGTGTTTTCAACCGGACACGTTCCTTGGCTAGGTGTTCGGCATCTCTTGAAGCCCAGATAAAAGTGAAGCCTGGATGAAAGCGTTGCCGCGAGGCTCGTCACTGATTGGTTGACTGGTTGGAGAGGAGGAGTGAGGTGCTGGACGCTGATTGGCTAACGGGAGGTCACGTGACCACAGGGGCAGGCATGGGCGAGGTAGGTAGTCGAGGAGGACCTCGACCACCTGTGCGCACTGAGGGAGGGGCGCTCGAGAGTATGGAAGGCTCTGGAACGTCGCCAGGTTTATCAGCCCCGATTAACGGTAATATCCTACAAGTGTACGCATGGTATGCGTCAAACTATCCCATGAAGAGTGACGTGAGCTTAGGCATCTGGCGTCTGGAAACTCCGAGTATCGCTAAACGCTTGTCTGTAACGTCTCAAGTATCCAATATATTTACCTAGCAATTGGCCACAATTTGTTTCGTTCGTTTGGCTCAGTTCCAATAACCAGACTTAAAAAACTTATTTAAAATTTTTTTTACAGCCACAGTTACTTTTAGATAAAAGTAGCGAAGTTACTGTTACAGTTACTGCAGCGAAAAAGTAATTCGTTACAGTTACGTTTAATTTAAAAACAACCGCATCTCCACTTGTTGAATGATGTTGATTGGGGCGAAGCTCTGGTGGTGCTTGTCTGCGTAGACGCTGAGGCGCAGCATACCAAGCCTTTCATTCGTTTTCATCCATGTCACGCTGCGGTCAAAAGCTCAAATGCGTATATAACCACTTTCGGCACATTGATACTTTAGACCCATGTTGTTGTAGAAAAACTATCTCCGAACTCCGGACTAAAAACATGCTTTTCGTGCAAGGCTCGTCAAATTATGAGGCGCTGGAGAAATGCAGCTTTCTGCGTTAAGTCCTTATTTCGAACTCTTTTTGTTCGCCTTCCGCCCATTGAAAAGCATGCGGGAAGGGCCTTAGAACGCACCTGGTATCGCTGCGCCGCACCGTTCTTCCGCAACATAAAGTTCGTCTGCTTTCCTCGCCGTCACCATGGCAACGAACGCCGAATCAATAGAAGCACGCAGGGTACCGCCGCGTGAAGCCACAACAGCTGACGCCATTTTACGAACGCCATCTGCTATACTCCGTTTCACCTTATGTTGTACCGCAGCGAAGGCTAGATGCGCGAGCTCGTAGGCTTGGCTGCTGCCCTTAATGCACGAGAGCTTGTGCCACCGAGATGTGCCCCAAAGCAAGGAGCTCGCGCTTGCAGCCTTTCCTGCGGTACATCATAAGGTGAAACAGGGTATAGCCAAAGCCGAACGCGGTTTGGCAGATCAACCGTCTCCGCCGGCGCGCCGCTAGCAAAGACGACGAAGCTGAGACACGCCGACAGCGATCGAGCAAGAAACAACACCGCGGGACGAATGCAACGGCGGCATTTATTCGGATCAAAGGTCGCCTTCGCCAGTGCGCCGCTAGCTAAGACAACGAAGCTGAGGCACGCCGACAGCGAATGAGCGAGCAACAGCACCGCGGGACGACTGCAACGGCGGCATTTATTGGGATCAAAGGCGCGAAATAAGCAAGAACAATTTTTATTTGAATCATAACACGCGATATCCAAGTTGGGGACCACATACCTTTGCTGGGCCTTTCCTGTGAACTTTTGACAGAGACATGGGGTGCCGCACTCAAAAGACAGCTCCGTTTGCAAAATATGGGGGCCCTGAAAAGGACCGTTTAGACCGCTACCAGAACCTATAACTGACGTAACGAGCACTTGACGAGCGGTTGGAGCATAAGTCGTCTTTATGCACGCAGGCGGGTGACGGGCTCAGCGCAGCGGATCACTCGAAGTCACCGGGGCCGTCAGAATCCCTGTCTGCGTCGGGGCTGTAGATTTTGGCGGCCGCGGCGACGAACGACTGGAATCTATCATTGTTTCCGCGCGCCTTCTCTCTCCTCCAAAACATGAACTTTGCAAGGTGACCAGTGAAATGGTGGCTCTCGCGCCGTCCAGATGGAAGAGAGTTTTCGACGTGGGCCCAGGTGCCCTCCACCGTATTGGTGTGCGCACCAGTGTTCGGGTCGACAAAGTGTAGCGGTACCGTGCGTGCTTCTATTCAATCGGCGTTCATTGGCATGGTGACGGCGAGGAAAGTAGACGAACTTTATGTTGCGGAGGAACGCTGCGGCGCAGCGATACCAGGTGCGTTCTAAGGCCCTTCCCGCATGCATTTCAGTGGGCGGAAGGCGAACAAAAAGAGTTCGAAATAAGGACCTAACGCAGAAGGCTGCGTTTCTCCAGCGCCTCATAATTTGACGAGCCTTAAGCGAAAAACGCGTTTTTTTGGCCATCCCGCTTCCTGTTTTTTTTTTTATCCGTAACATGGGTATAAAGTATCAAACTGCCCCACCGCTCCATACCACACATTCTCTTTCTGACATGGATGAAACCGAACGAAAGGCTCGGCATGCTGCGGCTCACCGTTTACGAAGACAAGCACCACCAAAGATTCGCCCCAATCAACATCATTCACCAAGTAGATATGCGGCTGTTGTTTTTTTTTTTTTTTTTTTTTGCCTTACACCAACACGGGAGCACGTGCTCGTGAGCACGAGCACCCGACGCCGGACATCGGACGGACATACGGACGGACATACGGACATGGCTAGCCCCTAAGGAGCTTCGCTCCTAAAAGTAACATTGTTACTTTTAAGTTCCCTTTCTCTGGGGATATAAACGAAGAACAACCCGCATTTTACGACAAAGCATGCGAGTAAAGCTGGCGCAAGTTGGCGCAAGACAAACATAACACTCGAGATGTCGGAACATGTCATTTGAAAAAGAACAAAAAAGGTTAGATTTTACTCGTTCAATGACGTCGTAATGCTGTAATCGCAAACATTAACAATGAAATAACGTCGTTTTTGTCGTCGTTACTTCCCAAATTGAAACAGAACTACGGTTGCAAGTTACAACTCGAAAAGATAGAGAGCAACGATTAAAATTTACGAAAACGGTAGCCAAGCAACAGTAACGCGTTACTTGTGACAAGTTACTACTTAAGACTGATAATGGTAGTCTTCGGTAGTGACTGACTAAGTTCCCGCTGTCTAATAATAGGCACAACGCAGTTAGTTTTGCTCTTTTGCAGTCTTACGCTTTGCTTTCTTCTTTAGGTACGGTTGCGTTCACGATGGAGACGGACCGGCCAAGCACATTCATGGTCATAAGGGTTCCCAGGATCGAGACTGCGCCTTCAAGCACGGCTACATCATGAGTTATTTTGACGGCGGAATCAATAGATTTTATTTTTCAAAATGCTGTCTGGCGCAGATGCGCGTTTTCTTGAGGTATTTTGTCACTTTTATCTCTTATTTTTGTAAAAATTAGTTCTTGGAACAGATCTGTCCATATATATCTAATTGTTTTTGATGCCCGTGGAGGCGAGTAATTAAATATTTCAGAAACATATAAATAGACACTCGGTAATATGCTTGTGTTTATGTTAATTCTTATGATTCTGTTTATTTTTGATCTCCAAAGCAGCAACATGCTTTCCGGTGGTGCATCACAACACAGAAGAAGAAAAAACATACACACCCGCATCAAACACACTAACACTATACATACAAATCACGAAACTAAACACAGAACAAAAAACAAATTCTCATATCCTATTATACTTCTAACATTGTTAAGCTTTTTTTCTTTTTACCGACATACACCAGTTTCATATAAACCGATATAAACCATTTCCATTGACATCAAGAAACAAAAAGATAAATAAACGCTCACGTTGGGACAATAATCTTGAGCATGTGGTACCTTGCCATTTCAAGGTTTGTGCAAAATAACAAATCATAAAGATCTCGTGTTTCAGAAAGTGTGTCCATGCGTATTTTACTTAGCAGTGAGTTGTAGCGATAAAAATATTTCTTTGCGAGGTATCGATCATACATTAAACAAACAAAGCGTTCCTCAATGTTTTTAATACAGTTATATCTTGAAGAATTAAGTGAATTCTGGGCAGTAGAAGCCAAAGTCCAATTTTGAGCGGAAAAATCAATTATACAGCACAAGGGCAGGTGACAATGTTTTAAACTCTTAAGTAATATTTGAGACCATACGCCGATCATTCTCAACGATGAAGCCACCACAGTATTAACGTGCAGGTCCATACCAGACGCGCGGAGTCCCGAACCACTCCAAGGTTGGGTATGAAGATGTTCTTTCTATTTCTGACATGTTGAGTTTGTAAGGCTATGTTTGATCCTATATGTTTTCGACTGTCGCCGACAGCCTAAGAGAATTAAGGGCGGGGATTATTATGTTAATTTATTCTTGTTTTGTGATTGGTTCTACGTCTGTCTTATTGTCCAATCCTGCAGTCTGATTGGCTGCGGAGCGGTAATGAGATTCTTGGCACCCACCACGCCCTGCGTGTCTTAAGATGTCATTGATAGTTGATACATCAAAGCCAGAAGAAATAGGGGAACGTTCGCTATAAACTTCCTTCCTAGTGTTTTTTTTTTTTTTTTTTTAATAAGTTGTCCGTTTTTCGAGGTTGCAGAAAACAGTGGCATCATTGAGACAATATTTCAATATTACGACAAGAACCTTATTATCAGTAAGACAACCGCCATTTTGTCTCAAGGCTGCTTGAAAAAATGAGACAGCAGTCCTATCGTGTTATTGCGTTAGAATTTTTTTAACAAGATGGGAAAAATAAAAGGTTGTTTTAGTGCATTTTTTCAAATATTTCACAATAAATAAAAAAACTGACATTTTTTCTTTCTTTTTTGGCGTGTTAGGTGACATGACGACCAAGAATCCTTGAGACTCGTTTGCATTTATAATGTTTTCTCTTGTTTGCTTACTTCAGTAATATTAGCATGCGACCTAGCTTCAAGATGCCCCAAATGTTGACTGTAACTCCCATTAAGAAACATATCAATAAATGTTTCTATCATTTTTGAACTCACGTAATTTCACATTGGGCATAAATTCCGGCTGCGGAAAAAAACGCCCGAAAAAGAGGAATTCAGGCAACACTGGAACATTCCTTTGAGATCACAACGTGCCGCCTGTTTAAGGGGGCTATTACCTAAAGAAACAGTACCTTAAAAACGGAACACCAGCGCACACTAGCTGACTAAGCTACTACTGAAACAAAACCTGAGAAAAACTTTTGTTGGAGCTAATGTTAACAAACGCAAGAGAGATGATGAACTTCATAGGTAACGAACTTCTGCACTCAAGGATCGTCTGTTCCGTCTCCGTGTTTTATGACCTTCCCATTATTTGTATTACCAATTTCCCGCAAAACAATTGGGGCAGCCAATCAATGCGGCGTATTATGAGGCTCAAAATCTTTTTACACTTAAATGAACAATCTCGGATGGCACAGAAATCACGACGTAAGCAGGTGAAACGTCACTCACAGCGATGACCTTGAAAGGGAGGGGGGTAGGTATACCGTATATTCAATCTCGTCTTTCGCCCAGCTCCCTCTGTGGATAACGGCGATTGGCTCTCTCGTGTGCTTTGCGGGAAAGAAGACTCGCCAGATTTTTAGAATGTAAAAATTACTCTCGTGGAAGATTTCACAAATCTGCGACATCTGTCTTCTTATTTTTCAGCAACCAAGTAGAACAGTGCTTCAAAAATACATTCCAAATGGACTTCATGAAGACCTTCCCGAATTTGCTCCCAGCCAGGGTCACATCTGTCGGCCGCTACTGCCAGGCAAAGTACCCAGATATGAAGAACGTCTTCTATGAACCGGTAATTCAAGATTTATCATACTTATAGTCACTGGCACTCTAAAGAAATGAAAGACGTTCAATGTATCTCCGCAGCCAATGAGATCGTGACGTCAGCCAATGAGAGCACCAAAGAACGAATCATGAAACATACTAAACCACGCCCTCCGTTTCTTAGTCTTTTAGTGACTAGTGAGTTTGCTGTTACAGCCGTTGAGCGACCGAGCTTCACTTGCTACTCCCATTTTTTGTTGGAGCAGATCTTTTATTTTCTCAATTCCAGTTTATCTCACTGGCTTGCGGCTTAGTCCAATTTTGCCTGCACTCGTCCTAGTCCATTCTTGCCGTGTCCCTGGATGGTATGCGGCTTACTTTTTATTGTAAAACTTTCCATGGTAGCCGCCAAACCCGGACCAGTGATTAACTGAATGCCACGAGATCTACAGTCACGCAATATGACAATGTCAACCAAGAACTATGAACATGCCGTAGTCACTCTTTGATTTATAATCGGCAGAACTGGTTAGTGAGCGTGAAACATCGTAAGATTGGCCACATTATTCGCGGTCATTCACACAACTCCACTCTACCTATAGACCTTCTTCACAAGGGCGCCGCCATCTTGAAATATCGTCAGTTCCAGTATGAGCGAAAACATTGTTTTGCCGTCGCCACACCAATAGATGCATTTAGGAGATGAGCGTAACCGTCAACCATTCTCGTTTTGTCTCCCCTCTATTTTTTTACTATTTGCAGGTGGAAACGTTTTAATATTTTTTCATTGCCCATACCGGGTATGCCTTCTTGGCGGTCGGGGGCGAGAGTAAGCGGAAAAGGTCTATAGTCCGTTGCAACCTAAGAACGAAGGGCGAGGGTAAGACGGGCCGGATAGGAGGAAGCAGACAGAACGCTAAAGAGAGAAGGAGGTTCCCCTCTCTCTTCTTCAGCGTTCCGTCTGCTTCCTCCTCCCCGGCACGTCTTACCCTCGCCCTTCGTTCTTAGGTTGCAACGGACTATAGAACCATAATGACTTTGTTTCCATCGGCGGGCTTGTGAGGTACGGTTGCAAAAATTAAAAGACAATTTTAAGATTCTCGTTTTTTTCTTACTAGCTCCATAAACTTTCTAACCGTGGGCCCCACAATAATGAGATTTTATTATAAAATTTCGCTGAAATTGCTCAAATAAATTCCTGCCATAAGCCTTGTGATTTCTACTTTCCTTGCTCAAGGTCAACGAAGCAGTAGGTGTAATGCTTAGAAATATGGGATCGAAGAAGACCTCTTTCCCCCTACAGCTCCGAACGTTCCTCCACTGGATCGGATTGCATAGCTTCGATACAGCAGATTAAGGCAACGTCTGATTTAAACTTAATTTTTTGCTGACTGGGAAGAAGATAGAAGGCTTATTTATTTTATACATTTCAACTACCCCCTTAGAAAAAATAACGATGAAGTACGGGACATATCCCTTTTAACATCTTGCAACAAAAACAAGTTCCGTGTCACTGAATAATGGAGCATTAACCGTAAGTAATTAGTACGGAATATGTCGTGGCAAAAAGGTTAGCATGCCTGTGTCCCACACACCACTATATGGGTACAAGTGCTGCCTGATACGGAAAGTGTGTCATGTTCGAAAACAGCACATGTTCTGTTGGAAATGATGTCAGCACAGGTTCCACTTTTAGATCTGACTGCGCACTCTCCATTTTGTAGGGGTTCCCATAACATGCTGTGCTTTTTTACTGCAAAAATAAACTATGTATTGCAGAAGGCTCAGTTTTCACCTAAATTTATCACAAGCCGTGTGGACGAAAATATAAAGTTTCAGAGCTTCTTTTTTTATTCAAACGTTAAAAGTGACTTTATGAAATTTTATATATAGAAATGTCTGCCTACGAATACATGGAGATGAATGACCCGAGCTTACAGGAACAGGCTTCAAATTTCTACTGAATTATTCCGAAAATCACATATAACTATACAATCAGATGGAAGGTTCCGAAATATTGGCACCTGGTCCGGACTGCAAGTGTCCCCTCTGAGCGGAAACTGAGCATTTGGTAATACATAGTTTATTTTTGAGGTGCAAAAAAAAAACCTAAATATATTTAGAGGACACGCTGTATCATTGGATAGGTTTTGTAAGTCCACTTCGTGAATGTTTTGTATGTCTCTGTTGTTTCACATATACATGCACATATAACTGGTGAACCCGAAGTTCTTCATGGAGTGGATGCAGCGTCTTTTGTGCAAGCAACTTCGGTGGTTGCCTGCAATATGACCATGTACCAAGAGGAAAATAGACTTCTAAATTCATAAAAATTTGAAGAAAGGTGACATATACATCTTGGGTCCTGATGGTATTGAACCATTGAATTGAACACATTGTGGAGAAAAACCAAGTGTTTATTGCCTCAAATTTTTATCATTTATATAAAATGAATAGTACCAGCTGTACAGATAAAATGATATCTTATCTAATTACAACTTTATCTAAAGGCGCTCCCCCAAAGCTCACTGGTCGCCACGATTATTAGTCTCTTCCTTACCACTGACCTCCTCTCTAGCGTTTGCTCTGCTCAAGTGGAAGGAGTAGAGGGCTTTGTGGGAGGAGCTCATCTTGAGTTTCTTATGTAGCAACAAACTAGAGTCCTAAATTTTCCTGCCACTTCTTGAACTTCGAAAGTTCTCGGGTTTTCCAGAGCCACCTTCCGTGAAGACCAATGGAACCCCTCTCCCGAGTTTATGCCCACGAGTCTTCTGCAAGAAATGTTATGTTAAAATGTGTGATAGGTTAAGTTACAGGAAAACTTATAAACTCTTTTAACTTATGTTTATACAATTAGTGCTTCCACCTGGTCAAATTTATAAGCTTTTTATTTATGTATTTAGTGATTTCTTTATTTATTTATTTCATCTTAAAGTATAGCAAACATATTCCTCCGGATTAGTCTGTTATCCTTTGTCAATTTAACTAAAGTGAATTCCCCGATGCCGAAAACCACCTTAAGTCGAACATCTTCTGAAATAGATCAGAGTCAGTGAGTAGCGACATAGAATATGCACTGTGTGAACAACATACCTTAGAAATCGAACACGGCTCTAAGTCAGACAGTTCGACTGCATACCATAAGAAATACTAGTTCCTACTACAGTTCCACTTTGGTGAAAGCTATAATCAAGCTCTCTGATCAGCATCATCTCATTTTAGATATAATTTTGTGGCGTAAAATGTTCCCTGCCTGGTTGATTTTATCAATATTTTATGGCAAATGTTTCAGTTATTTGATTGGATTAAATCATTTTGAAGCACTCTTAATAGAAACCAAAAGTTCCTTTCGGAACTGTAAGAGACATTCGTAGGGCAAGCTTATCGCAATTCGTTGAACTGCGTATATTAGGATAAACAATCGTGTTATTTATTAAATGACAACGCCTTTCTCGCTTTTCCAATCCTCAAGACCACTCATATGTTTTCATTGCATGGTAAAGAAATAAAAGTTCTCCAAACTATCAACTACGTCTTAGGTCATGCTTTAAAGCGACGCAGCAACAAGAATGTTGTGACAAGCATCATTTTACTCGCGACGTTTTGTTTTCGTTCTGTTTCGCTCTAGAGCGCGTGAAAGATCGTGTCCAGGCACAAGCTCTTGGAATTGACAGTGGTACGGCATTTCGGTTCTAAGTTTTCCCGCTCATACCAATCCAAGTGGCAGCGTTTTTTTTTTTTTTTTTTTAAATCTGAGCGTCCCTGAATATAATTAAGCTGTACACCAATTTAATCCAAGTGGTCATCAATTGAATCCAAAAGCAAATGAATTTAATTTAAGTTATTACCAAGTTTATCCGAGAGAAAACGAATTTTACCCAAGATATCACCAATTTAATCTCAACGCTTCCATTTTAAACGAAGAGCCTATTAATTTACTCTGTTTTAATTTGTGAATTAAGAATTACTGCAACTCGCCTGTAACAATTATTTTAGAGGTCTGAGGTGCTTGCTAGTCATAAATTTTTTTTTTAATAATGTATACGCGTGTTTTATGACTGCTTCATCATATTCAAAAAGCGTGCCTTCGGGGTACGCTTACGCCGTGCCGCGATATCAGCATCGGGCGTCCACTGCTCCTTTAAATCGTCTTCAAAACTTGGCGGTATACTTGATCCGTGGCGCGGTTGCAGACGTCGCGTGTCGACTAAAGGCCCGTTCACACTCTTGCGACCTCTTACATCTAAGTTCCTTAAAATTTCTTAAACCAGAAAACACACTGGCGCCATCTATTGGGAAGCAGTGTAAACTCGGCGGTCCAGCATATTTTTTTTTTATTTCTCGCGCATTATCCTTTCTTTGTTGGCTCGAAAAACTTTTGTCAATGTTATGAACGAGCCTTTCTATGGGTATTACGCACATTTGACCTCGGAAATCCCGCAAAACCTTCGCTCTTGTGAAATGCAGTTCCAGGGTCACCGCATAGATGGCGCCACAATGCCAGTGTGTTCCCTCATTCTAAAAACATTTAAGAAGTTATAAGAGATCTCGTCTCTCTCAGTCGTACTCGGTCGCAAGAGTGTGAATGGGCCTTAAACGACATTTCGATTCAACGTCGTTCAACCAGCTGATTGCCACCAGAATTCTCGTCCCTTTGGGTCCATGAAAAAGTGAAAGCCGTTTACAACTCCCTGTAACACCGAATTAGAGCGCAGCTCTTGAGGAGGAGGAGGGAAGGGTACTGGGGGGGGTGAAGTGACCTGGGGGGTCACGTGACGATGCCGATGATGTCATCAGTGACGTCACTGATGACGTCATCAGTGACAATGACGATGCGGACTCCGATGACGTCATCACCGATGATGACGATGACGATGCGAATGTCGGTGACGTCATCAGTGACGTCACTGATGACGTCATGCGTGATGATGACGATGCGGATGCCGGTGACGTCATCAGTGACGTCACTGATGACGTCGTCAGTGATGATGACGATGACGATGCGGATGCCGGTGACGTCATCTGTGATGATGACGTCATCGGGGAGGTCACGTGACCTCGTCGGGGGGTCACGTGACCTCGGGGGTCACGTGACCTCTGGGGGTCACGTGACCTTGGGATGACCTTGGGGGTCGCGTGATCTTGGGGTGACCTTGGTTACGCCGACGCCGACGCCGCTCAAGTCGGGAACGGGCCCCTAAGAGCTGCGCTCTAAAAAGAGGGTCAGTACATCCGGTGCGTACATTGAGCCGTGGTACAGTGTAAAGGTGGCTTGGGGTCTGTAGTCACCGGGTTGTCTCCTGGGTAGGTCGAAGAGTGGTAAGGATTTCTTCAAGATGACTGAGGACCATGACGAGCCCGTCGGTGTTGCCAGGGAGAAAGGTTATTGAACATCAGCCACAGCCCCACCCTCACCCAGGGTTAGGGTGGGGCTGGTGCTGGGGCTGCCCACCCTCTCCGAATTCCAGCCGACCTTGTAAACCTGTAAATTTTAAGTTTTTATCAGCGCTCCTGGCGAGCACAATAGAATATTTTTGGTCGCGTTTTGTTCGCGTGTCACCATGCTCCTCTAGGTTGCCCACAGACGCTATAAAAGAAAATCGTTCAGCCTTTCCACTCTCGTGAAGAAGAAAGACCAGCGGAGCTGTGCTCGATACACTATGTGCGTCTTCTTCTTCGTCGTCGTCTGTTTTTCGCGCTGTTTCCTACGATGAATTCCCACCAACGCGCCCAACTATCCATTCTTCTTTGATAGCTGGAAAGGTTGCCGCCATCTACGAGCGACGGCGGAAACCATACTGATTGTGTGCTTGCCACCGTCGCTTATAGATAACGGTAGCTGTCCAGGTAGGTTTGTGTCAACATACACAGAGACGATCCTGGGGAACCTAGTCCTTAACAGCTCCGCTGTGAAAAAATTCGCTGCAAGGAACGCGCTTTTAGCGTTTCTATAGACAATGGCGCCGCGACTTCTATAATTTTGGTTATTGATGTTAATTTTTTTTTTCAGGCACTCTGGTAGCGCGGATAGCTAGACACTGACAGGCGCTTGCATTCGAAGATACCTCGCGTATTACCTGATGCTACAGCACCGCCTTTATGGTCGCGTCACTTAGATGGTACCATCAGTATACGGGCAACTGGGCAAAAGAGACAGGCCTATGATATACGCATGTATCCTCAGCCCCCCCCCCCCCCCCCCCCCCCCGGAAAACATTCCTGGCTAAGCCATATTGAATGGGTTAAGGCAGCACAACAAGACGAACGACCAGTAAAAGGAAACACACAGACACAGCGCTGCGTCTGTGTGTTTCCTTTTACTGGCCCTTCGTCTTTTTGCGCTGTTTTAACCCATTCAATATGACCATCAACCAACTCGCCCAACTTTACACCTTGTTGCAGTTCCCGGCTAAGCCACTGCCCCACTGCCGCGACAACGCTATCCCATCCAACGTACGAAATCATCGGGAAAATGGCTGCTGGGACTCGCCGAACACGACAGTTGGAGACACATGCTTCCGACGCTTCGTTGGCGTCATTCCATTCAGCTCGGCCCAGTTCCGGGCAGTAGCTTGCGCCACCTAGCCTTGAAACTAAAAAGTATTATTCCTCCCCCCGCCCTTCTAATATGGCCTAATTCTGCTTAGTCTTGGTTTTTCTGGCTTTCAAATAAAACAAAATATTTCATTATATTCTATCAACGAGACAGAAAAACAAAGTTTTTGCTACGATTCAGTTTATTGTGAAAACTCTCTCTTTTCTGGGGCCGTATATTGACTAGTTGAGTACACACGCACCCTTCTTACTTATTCTGCAAAACCTAAGCATGCAACAGTTTTATAATATAAAAGTTTCCCGTGCACGCTTCTGTGCGAAAAAAACTTCTTATCAAGTGGAGACGCTAGAAAGGCTAAAACTCGTACTCTGCTGGAAATAACATTTTGATACTATGCTCATTCTAATACACTGTCACGAGTAGGCATTTTTGTCTTCTTCCCCTCGTTTGGTATTGATTCAGCGAGGAAGTTCCCACGATACGGGATATTTGACTCTATTCAGGCAAGATGACGGAACGGCAGATATAGGAACCTCTAAAACGAGACCGCCCCGGCCAAAACGGGACGTCTGGTCACCCTAATAATTGTGATTCTTGAAATTTCTGATGCAGGACCGGCTGAAGGAGATAGATTGCAAGGTGATTTGTTCTGGTTATAGAACGAATGGGTCGAAGCGCTCCATCGTTACCCCGGCTCTAGATGGCATGATCTGTGACCAAGGAAAGGTGAGAAGAATCTGTACAATAAAATCACTAAAAGAAATAGATTTTTCGCGATAGTTTGCGCACATACTTTACTATGCCCCGTTGCAGGTTAAGAAAATCAGAATTATCTCCTCCCGCAAAAGCCCTCCTCTATTTCCACTTTAGCAGAGCGAACACTGGAGAGGAGGCCAGTCTCTCCTCGCATCGTCTCAACTACCCTCCGGCGTTCGTTTTGCTAAGCTTGACCTTGTCTTCTTAACTTGCAGCGGCGTGTAAAAGAATACATTCCACTCCTCACATTACATGAGGTGGCCTACGTGTAAAGCACCGCCACTCCCCCCTATTGGTAGGGAGCCCGCTTTCAAGAGAACGCACGCGCATCGCGATGTCCACACTTTAGCGCTGCGGAGGTCCGCCACCAACGCGCCGAGATACCGGACTCGCCAAGACAGCAAAGACGGCTGTCTCCGCTATCTCAAAGATTGTCCGTGACGATAGATGGCAGCAGTCATCCTATCCTATCCAAAGGTGAAAACCCCAAGCATCCGCACGTCCAGCCGTTTATACTACGTAAAAGCTGTCGGATTGGATTTTGCGGGTTAAGGTGCTATTCCTAGTAAAGGTAATATATCCTTGTGGGTGTATATGAGAGAAAGAAGAGAAGCAGAATTAACAAGTGGAGAGTAGTGTCAAAACTGTGGCTGGGCATTTAATCGATTTACCTAGAGATTAATCGATTGTTTATAGCAATTACTTTTTTAAACGATTAATCGGTTAATTATTGATTAAAAAAACTTACACATCCACTAGACCGAACGGTCTTCAGTATTTGCGAAATGAAATCTACAGACCACGAGACATGATCGCTTACACCACTCTCAGGACGATATAACGAAAAACTAACTTCCGCGTAAAGAATGTATGAAAATATGTACACAGATAGTATTTTGTTTTAGGGCTACCCAATAGACGGCACTAATGTGTTCTCAAGTCGTAAGCGGCCACAAGAGCTTGCGACCCACTTGATCACACTCAATCGCAAGTGTATAAGCCACCCTTACCGCCGAATTCAGAAACCTCACTCAAACTACACTCAAACTGAAGGGCCCCTCGCGCCTTCCTCGAGTAAGTGGAGGGGCCCTTCAGTTTGAGTGTAGTTTGAGTGAGGTTTCTGAATTCGGCGGTTAGCTGCATTTGTTTTTGTTCCTTTATTTCTTTCTTTTCTTTCAACTCTGGTTTCATTTGTCTCGTGTTTGTTCGTTTTCGCAATTTTGAGTGTTTGTTTCTGCTGTGCCCGAATAACCAAGGGGTTCCGTGTTTTCGGTAAATACCGGTAAACCCGGATAATTAACCCCTGAGTCTGCGTAATCAAGATAAGGAAAAACCGAAAAAAAAAAAAAACAAGTGGTAGCTCTCATTAAAGAACAGAAACCCCAGCACCACGGGGAGCAAACGTTTATCTACACATTTTCTGTTGACTAAAACAAAAAAAAGAACCCCACCGAACCGGCCGTGAGGCTACTGACAACCACACTCAATTTCTTCTTTCCTTATCTTATCGGTTTGAAGACGTTTTCCAAGTATCTGGGTCACGCACATGCAGACTTGTACGTAACGCGTTACAAGTAATTGATTACTTGTAATCAATTACAGTTAAGTGTAATTTTGTAACGCTTTAATTACATTTGTCAAGCTGTAACGCTCGGAGTAATTCAATTACTTTTTTCTGTAATCAATTACAAAATCAATTACACAATTACCAATTACATTTTTCATTCCACAATTTTTTTTCTCACAAAAATTAACATGGTCACTCAGCCATGTAGCAAAAATGATTGACATTTTTTTAACATCTAAAAAAAATAAAACTAGGATTAGTCGGCAAATCCTTTTTTCTTTTGCGCCACGCTCTTCTACAAGCGCGCCACCAGCCTTGGCTGGGGAGTTCCGGATCTCGTTGCAGATTGCTGATAAAGTCGACGGGAAGCGGGAACTCGCTATTGACTTTTTAGTGGGCTTTGTTCCTTAGGTCGACGCGTCAGCTACACGACAAGGTCCGGGTCTGAAAACAAAAAAGGGAACAATAACCAAACAAAATTGTGTACGCAATATTTTACTGTGTATTTGTGTATTTCTGTCATCGCAATAAGAAGTAACGTGAAAGTAACTTGAAAAGTAATCAATTACTTTGCAGTAATTGTTCAATTACTTCTGGGAGGCAGTAATCAGTAACGGTAATCGGTTACTTTTTTGACTGTAGTAATTGTAATTGTAATCAGTTACTTTTTTTCAGTAACGTGTACAAGTCTGCGCACATGTTCTTCGGAGAATCGGTAATCACAAGCACGTATCCCATTTTCTTCAACATGAGTCCCGAAAACACGCAATTACCTGCCCAACACAAAATACTTATACTCAAAAAGGCGAAACATCCGGGGGAAAATAAACCCCGAAAAGCACCCCTTTACTCGAAAAAGAAAAAAAAAAAAAAAAAAAAAAAAACGAAACGCGGCATCTTATTTAAATCATAACACTACCAACTAACATCATGCTTGCGTCTCTTTCAGAGCTGCATCAAAGGACAGTGCATCACGGGATAACTTGTTGCATTTGCTACGTGCTAAAAAGAACAAATATTTACTAAAAATGTTGCGTGTTTATTTGACCCTGAATAAAGTGAATTGATATTTGAAACGACCATGTACTCGTGCCACTAGTCGTCATTACGTCAAGTACGGTTCTCCTTTTCATTGTGCAATATTACCTTTCAAGTGCGAGATCGACGAGGTAGCTCCAGCAAACCTAGCTTTCTGTTTTAAAGTGATAGCAATAAGGAGCTCGCGCCAAAGAAAATCCGGCATCGGTGGCGGGCAGCAAAAATCCTGATATGTCAGTAGGGTCATGACGTCACACCCACATGACCTCGTGCGGGTATTTCAAGAAACCCACAATGCTCTCGTGACGTCACTTGTGGAATAAAAGAGATTAAAAACATGACATGTAATGCGAATTAAAGGTCGCCGCATGTCTCAAAATATTTCACTCCATAAAGTAAAAAAATTCCCTTAAGGCTGCGGTCCCACGGCAGCCATCTTAAACAAGGCGTTAGTTCAACCAATAGATGGCGACACGCACCCGTGGGGTGGCCGAAACATTGGTTCACAGTGGGATGGCTCGAGCACCATCACGTTCCCCTCGTGGCCTTGCTCGCGCCGCTGCCAGCTGTGCTCAGCTAGCTCAAGTAGCGTAGCCCCAGCAAACGTATGTATGCGAGAATGTCAGGCTGGGTATAAATTGTTCTCTGATGAAGGGAGATGCGGTTCGGCGGTTGTAACGGGCTTTCGCAATAAATCTTACCAACAAGAAATTTAATGTCGATTGACTTGTTAATATTCTATCAATGAAACTTTCTTCTGCAGGAATGCACGCTCAGTAGACTCAATCTTACAAGACACCAGTGCAAGCGGACGTCCAGTAAACTGCTTCGCGATTTACGGTACTTACCTCACCATTTTAATGACGACTGAAATAACGTCACAAAATATTGTGTTTCACGGGGTCCGGAAGATGTGTAAAGGTTGTTACATTATAGGGGGGGGGGGGGGGGGGCAGACAAAAAACGCCGTTGCAATATTTTCGAAAGTACCGACACACATAATGTTGTAAGTACAGCTTAGGAGGAATATGATGAAAACCATCAGAAGAAGTAGGAAGACGTTTATTTGCAATGATGACTTTATGAATGAACGGCGTTTAGCGACGGCAAGTTATGAGCGTTCGGGAATTTATAAGTTCACGTGATTGCAAACTATGGACATGCGTTTTTGTCGGGAGATGGGGTCGCGGTGATGACCTGATATCGGACGACTCGTGGCAGACGAACGAGCAAGTTTCTTCTCAGCGAATGGTAAGTGTCCAGTGTCAAGCACAACACGTGGCTACCGACGTTGTCGACGTTTCGAACACTTGCCGCTTTCGACAAAAGTCCTGGTACCTGGGCTAACTTTTTGAAAAGACTCGAAGTCTTCCTTGAGTCCAACGTACGCCATCATGAACAGTAACTGAAAACGATCCAATATTTATTCGGTGGGTGGCGAAATGTATCTGCATCTGCGGAGTCATGGGCAATGCGTACTCTAAGTGGCTGGAAGTTTACACGATGCCTGCCACGACGTCCAAACAAGTCATTGACGTTCTACTGTCTCTTTTACTTACTTTTGCCCTACCGAAAATACTTTTTTCTGATAACGCGCCAAATCTTGCTTCAAACAAAATAAACAAGTTTTTGAAGAAAAAAAACCGACATCAGGCATCACATTAGTGCACCATACCATCCTGCAACTAACGGGCATGCAGAACAGATGGTGTGCGAAACAAAAAAAAAAAAACCTTTTAAAGCTTACGGAAGAAGCAGTTCAGTGAAGAATCGCAAGGTTGTTGTTCCAGCTGCACGCGACGGTCTCCTCTTACACGGTAAAAACACCCGCCGAAGCAATATTCGGCGGACGAAGAGCCACACCCTTCGATCTCATGATACTATGGCTTACGAACAAAGATCGAGAGACTCCCAGATCGGGAGTAATTGCAGTTTATTCGGTCGGACAACTCGTCTACGTAAGGAATTTCGGCGGAAGTCGGGCCTTCCATGTAAAACTTGAGTAGAAAAGGCACTATGTTGGTTGACCAGAAGGTGTCATCTCTCTGAATACGTTGGATATCAATGCCCTTGAGTGTAAATATAACTGAATCACAAAGCTCTCTTTGTGTATTGTGTAACTGCCCTTGTATTTGATAGTAGAAGCTATGGTGGTGATTAGAACCTTTCACACCAGGCTCCTTTTCCTTATTTTTCGCCTCATACTCGGTTTAAGTATGCTCAAGAATCTTTTGGAACGGGGACACTTTACGTCAACGAGGTCATTCGTTCCAAGTAGTCAATCAGGGAAATCTGCGAGAAATCCGTCCCTCCTATTAACGAATAAGCCGCACTTCTGCTAAGTGCAGTTTTCCTGTTCCACGTACAGTTGTAAAGCAGCATCCTCATTGATTCTACCATATTCTGTTGCGGGTAAAGAAAGTCTTTGGGTACACGATACTTGAAACAAGTCTGGCACTGTACGTTGTGGTTCGACACCCACTAATGTCGTCGTCCTTATTGAGCCTGATCATTTAATCATTACCTCGTCACCTCATATTGCTCTTCATCAACAGTAAGTACAATAGGCTACCGCCATATTACAATCCAAGAATTGAAGAATTTAGTCGTTCAGTCCTTCAACAAGTTTATTGTTTATATAATGTTATTACGTAACATTACCTCGAGACGTTCGACGTCCATCGTCGATATTCAAATACTTATACCTGTATATAAATTAGACGCACAAGGGGGGGGGGGGGGAGGAGGGGGGGGGGGGGGGGTCGGTGGCCGAGTGCATGGTTTAGCGCACACCAGCTCGGAGCACTTGGATCGAAAGCTCGAGCTGCAAAAGCCACCGCGCCCCTGCCCGTTTCGATCTGAAAGAGCATCGTACCCGCGTGCCCAAGGTTTGCGGTTGTACCGCACTGGCTAAATTGCTTATCTACAGCTGAGAGTCAGACGCCCACTAAGGCGGTCTAACTTTCGGCTGTATAAACATACACACAACAATTTGAAATTAGACGCATAATAACGAAGAGCACAGCGTGCCGCCTCTTTTCTTTGGATGCCTTTTTTTAAACCAGCGCAAGCTCGCGCGTTCTCTCTTTTGAGACGGTTACAACGGTCGCACATAAAACCCGCGTTTCTCCTACCCGGCCGCTTCCTCCTCTCATTATGTGTAGTTGGCTATAACTAAATAAGCTATAATAAAGGTGTACTATTCATATTTACTTTCAGTTTCAGTCAGGGGAAAGGAGTTTCGCGGGAACTAGAGCAAATAAATTAGCTGCGCTTAGAGTATCGGCACTCTCTTCCCCGACAGTGTTGCGAACGCCGCCATTCTGGTGCTTGGGCAGAGCAGGTGCAACTGCCGATCGTCATGATACAAACGTTCGACATCCTCAGCATTAGATTCGGTTTTAGGAAGCTCATGTAATGTTGCTCTGCTTTGTCGCACAATGTTTAAATTGGAGGACGGAAAAGCGTTTCTTGTGATTTCAGATAAAGCTTCAAATAACCGATAACCATGATTTTAAGCCACAATATGGCCAAGTGTCGCTACTCTGACGCGTGGCTTATTTAATGACACTATTCATGCTCTTGTTCAAGAGGCTTGTAATACCTGGAGGGGCCATGGCGTAAGCCCCGTGGATTCCACAAGCCACTATCTTTTGACACCTGCCTCTTCCTCATTGTTCCCGCTTGTGCCAGTAAATTTGCTACGGTTCAGAGTAACGATACTTGGCCATATTGTGGCTTAAAATCATGGTTGCCAGTTACCTGAAGCTTTATCTAAAATCACAGGAAACGCTTTTCGGTCTTCCACAAATGTTTAAACAACTCGCGACAGAGCATTGCAATATTGCATCAGCTTCCTAGCACCGCATCTAATGCTGAGGAAGTTGTACTTTTGGATCATGACGATCGGCAGTTGCGTTTGCTCTGAACAAGACCCAAAATGGCGGCGCCCAAAACAATTTTGGGGAACGGAGTGCCGATACTTTAAAGCTCATTTAGTGACTCTAGGCATGAAGTGAACTCGCGTGTATTATTTTCCTTTTCGTCTTTATTGTTTATTGATTTCAATCATATCGAATAATGAACACATTATATCACGCTACGCGTGTGTAATTATTTGTCTTAGATTTATTAACCTGACCCAGTACTTAAACCATTAATTTTTCGATAGTAAATCTTCCAATATATTTTTAAATGTGAAGGTAAAAAGACACGGAGATTGATGATGATACAGACGCCAACGCCGCCCTCGGCAATTTTTTGAACACTAGAAATCAGCAGTTTGTCTGGCATCCGCCAGGTAGCGCAACAAAACACCCAAACCACTTTGAATTGTTTTTAAAATTAGCTAAGCTCTACACATATTAAGAAACCAAAGCAAGATCATTGTGAAAATTTGATACATCGCAATGTATATCTATTCCAAACAATAAATGTTATTAGATGCCAATAAATCTGTTTGATGTTCAAAAAAGGTATGCGTCAAAAACAGGTAAGTTTGAAGGGCTCCTGGAGCGTTATGACTTTGAAAATTAAAAAAAGCCATCGTCCACCTCTTGGGCAACCATTGTAGCTCTAAATGTTATAAAATATTTTATCACAGTTTAATTATTTCCTCAGCGGCATTTGAAGTACCATGACTCGAGGCACAAAAATGTGCTCCGTTTGATTTAAAATACCTAAACAAAAAAATTTCACACAACATTAAATTTTTTTCTGCGTATTACCAATTATAAGCGCTACATGTGTAGCTAATATTGCCGCGCGCGCAGCTGGCCAAGTAGGCAGCGCGCGCGTGGCCTAACGGTTATCGCGCTTGCCTCCCACGCAGAAGGCCAGGGTTCGATTCTTGGCCGCGACTTCAGATTTTTGTTGACAGTGTAATTTGATGTTCTAGTGAATTCAAGAACCGTCTTGCTGATTCGAGGTTAGAATGTTCTACAC